GAGAATATGGTGGGTGTAGCATTGTATCCCATTCAAGCTGTAAAAGCTTTTGGCGAGTGACCAAACTTGTGTGAGGTCTCGCGTTGTCTTGGTGAAACACTACACCTTTCCTGTTGATTAGTTCTGACCTTTTCTGTTGAAGTGCATCATTCAGTTTGTCCAGCTGATGACAGTAGACTTCCGAATTAATCGTTGTGTTATCCGGTAAAAGCTCAAAAAAAACGATTCCTTTAAAATCCCACCAAACAGACAGCATCACCTTTTTTTGGTGAATATCGGCTTTGGAAATGGTTTGAGCCGGTTCATCTTTTTTGCTCCATGACCTCTTGCGTTTGACGTTGTTGTATACAACCCATTTTTCGTCCCCAGTGATGATGCGCTTCAAAAACGGATCATTTTCGTGACGTTTGAGAAGCGAATCGCAGACGTCAATGCGGCGACACAGATTTCTCTCTGTGAGAACATGGGGAACCCATACATCGAGCTTCGAGGATAATCCCAGGCCTTTCAAGTGGTCATAAACTGTTGAATTTGATAAATTTAACCTCAATCCGATCTCACGTGTTGTTATTCGCCGGTTCACATCAACTAATGCCTTTATCGCGTCTTTATCAGCTTCAACCGGCCTTCCCGAACGTGGTGCATCTTCGACATCAAAATTGCCGGATCGAAATTTAGCGAACCAGTTCTGGCACTGGCGTACTGTCAACACACCTTCTCCATACACATCAGTCAATTTCTTTCTGGCTTGAACAGCATTTTTACCCTTTCTGTAGTAAAACAGTAAGATATGTCGAAAATGCTGCTTATCGCTCTCCATATTTAAAAGGGCACCAACCAAAAACTACTGCGTATAATTAATTGGAATTTTTCACACACAAGCCTTGCTATATAAGCTCTCAAAGCATATAAAAATTATACGGCTTAAATGTGAAGTTGGGTGCAAAAGAATACAATTAAATCCTCTGTCGGGAAAAAACGAAATGACTTTCCGAACAACCCTATAAATTTTTAACTTCCATTATGGGAAACGATTGTTAATGCCACACACTTTTGATTTGCAGTACATTTGTGGTTATCCGAATATTGTTATTTCAACAAACATTTTATGAATTTAAACACAAAGCAAATAGTTAAATTTCTTTTAGTTTTATTTCGAAAAGTTCATTACAAATATTTGGAAAAAGAATTTCGTTTGAAATTTCATGAAGAGCTTTGTTGCGAACCTACCTCTTCACGTTGCTTTGACCATACGGACGTGATCGAAAAACTAAAAATGTCACGCATGTTCGACATAAAAGATAACTTAATTAAACATTTTCAATTTTGATGTAATTTACGACACAGATTAGCATACCCGAAACGCGATTTACATTAGCGAGTCGAGTCCTCCCGCGTTCCATTGTGATCATGTTCTGACGAAGGTTTTTCATTTAAAATGTGATTTAGATGGGGCCTGAAAACGTTCTTGTGGAGAACCTGTAAGAGAGAGAGGGTGAAGCCAAAAAGTTGAATCGCACTTCGGGTGTAACGAAAATGCAAATTAACACGATTTATTTTGAAATAGGACCCACCTCTTCAACTGCGTTAATTGCCATGTCGTTTTGCTAGACATTTATGAGATCGTTGAATTAAATTAAATATCCGCGCTGCGAGAGTTTTCAACTTGGCAGACCATTATTTGTCCATATTTTTTTTCGGCGCAATACCTTCAGGTTAATACCCGTTTTACATTATTTATTTAATTACCATAAATCGCGTTAATCTCGACAGATTCCCCTCAAAACATTTTTTTTTCTCAAAAACCCGCCTATCTACACACAGTATAAGTACTCACATTTTTCACAAATTCTGGAATAATGAAAGTACGCTGTTATGGTAAAAAGCCAATAACTCATTTACGGTATTAACTTGTGAAACAACGCAGGAGCACATGGTCCCCACTTTGGCATTTAATTTTTTTTTTTTGAGCCATTTTAATATTATATTCCTAACCATCAAACTACCAAACATGATGATCTATAAAAGCAGTTTCAGATAGAGACAACGTGCTTTTATAGATAACATTAATAAAATACAGTTTATAACAAACTAGCTTTTCCCTGCGGTTTCGCTCTCAAAAATTAATATTGTTTCTCCATAAAACGTTTTAACTCCCAATTCACCCTTACAACGTTTTAATTTTATGTAATGTCGCCATCTTAGATTTCAAATACAAACGTAGCAACAACATTTCATCCTTAAGGGTTGATTTTTAAAAATTGCCAGAACACATATTTGCTTAATTTCAACAATGAGCAACCTTCGAGTAAATCCGTGTACAAATAAAATATACCCCATGGAAACGTTGCAACCTCTTTTCATTTGATTAATAAAATAAACAGCATATATACCAAGTTTCAACTAAATTCAACCGCAAATAAACTGTGTCCCAAACAACAATTGCAACACCTTTTTACCCCCCCCCCTTTGGAGGTTGAATTTTTTAAAATGTCGAGATTGGTCTCTCAGAAATTAAATGAGAGACCATTAAGACCAAGTTTCAAGTAAATGTGACCACAAATAATATTCCATTTAAACATTGCAACTCCTCTTCACCACTCATCCTCCCCAACAGAGGTTGAATTTTTTAACCAGTTCCAAGTAAATCGGACCAAAAACAAACATACAATCTTTACAAACCCCTTTCAGCTTCCTAAACAGGTAGAATTTTGTAAAATGTTGAAATAGATATGTATGTCACTAATTTTATATGAAAAAGCATTAAAGCCAAGTTTCATGTAAATCTGTTCATAAATAAAACACCGTACTTAACCATATGTCATTCCATGTCAGTTGCGTTTTCTTATAGATAAAAAGTATCCTGTATCCGTCTCCTGGTTCTAAGCTAATTCCCCACCAATTTTCAGTCAAATCGGTTCAGCCGTTCTTGAGTTTAGTGTAACTAAAACGACTTCCTTTTATATGTAAAAACAAATGAAACGAAATTTATAAACTATTTTGAGTCACATTCTTCACTTTGAAAACATTCCCTACACCTACCTACATTTATCAAGTGGTCGAGTGTTGCTCTGCTAAAAAAAATGTCCAATACAAAACAACGATTTTCATCGACTAGGTTCTACGCTTTCTTTTTATGCGTGGGATCTTTTTGTTTATATATCAAGATTGTAACTTTGTTTAGAAAAATCTGAGCCAATTTTTATCTTTGTTCAGAATTTATGTTCGCCTTTATATCTTGACGCCTACCAAATGACATTGATTAGCAGCCTCTTTTTCGTTGTTCTCTTTCGGGATGGAAGGGAAGCTTGCGAGCAAATACGAAACACTGGAACCCATAAAGTAGAGGCAGCAGAAACTTTAGGAAAAATATCATAGATAAAAACTGACAAGTAGTTTAAAGTAAATATTAATTGGTTGTCAGTTATTTTATGCTTTTATGTTAGGCATCAGAATATTGGATGTAAAAAAAGTCATTGTGACATTGACAATAACCCCTCTAATTTTTGCGCGGAAATAGATTCAGGAGGACACGGTAATATGCCGACAGATTGCTGGTGACTATCTATCACGATGGACAGGTATCATAAACTCCTTTTGTAACGACGTGGTGGGTGGGTCGTCATTTAAAATATGCTTTTACAATACACCACCCCTGTAAAAAGTGTGTAATTAACAAGATAATTTAGATCATTCACTTTAAAACAAGTAATGGTAAAAAGCAGGCTGCAGGCATTACGTTACATCATTCTCGTTGGGTATGGAGTGTAGTTTTGACGCAAACAATAATTATGTTTCCTTTTGTTTTTGTTTCATTGTTGTTCTATAAATTATTATATAAATTTAGCGTAGAATATCTTTGCCTATATAGATATTATTTTAACTTTTTTATTTATGAAATTTATCACCATGATATGGAAAATGTGGCATAATCTGTTTTTCTAACGTAAGATAGATATCTACATACATATTGAAAAGTGAATGAGTAAGAACTCTTTTGAAAAAAAGGGCAGAGATTATACAGGGTAGCGTATTTAAAACATTTCACTTGCAAAATTCTCCCTCTCTATTTGAAGAAGAACGAAATGCCCCGGGAAAGTGTAAGAATTTTTAATTAAAGGCATTCCCGATAAGAACCTCAACCTCAAATTTATGGAGACTGGTTCTGTCGCTAACAGGAAACATGAAAGATGATGCATTGTTACAAACGAGAATGCAGAGGTTGCAAGTCTGGGACATGTCGAACTGGATCCTACATCAAGTACCAGAAAATTGGAATCCATTTCATGTCGTGCATGAGTTAAATGAAGATGATCCAGAGTAAGGAGATGAGAGAAAGAACTGTGAACAATCCAAATTTCTTATATTCGACATGGTTGTTCTTTCTTAATGGTTACGTCAACAAACATAATTGGAAATTATGTAGTAATATAAATTCTAGAATTATAAAAGAACCACATTCGCAATCTCCACAAATAGTATTGTTAGTCCATTGTTTTTCGTGCATAATTTTACAGTTAACCTTAATCAACCTGGAAAATCGATCTATTTCAGAAATTTCCGAAAAAAAATTGCCATTGAAAATTATCAAGATGGAAAGTAGTAAATACTCCACCCAGTTGCGCCCCAAAATAATTAAAACTTTCATTCCAAAAGACCATTTAGGTATATTTAAAATTTGTATCTCATTTTGGAATTTCTCAATATCTTTTTTCCTCAAACTACTCTATCTCAGACGTTACGCAACAACATGGAAAATGCTACTACATACGATAAAGTAAAAACCCCAGCTAGACCTAAATTGTGATGCTAACTACAGATTTTGTTTCTATTGGTCAATTTATCATGATTGACTTAACGAAAGACACCAAAGCGGGTATGATACGATTCCAGTGAAAGCGCTCGGTAATCGCGAGTGTCAGGAAGTGATGTGGATGCCGGAGCATGTTTATCATCGGGCGCCGCATTGTTTTCGAAATTAATTAAACGTTTTGTTACAGATGCCCCAATGTCGCTGTAACGGCTATCTGACCAGACAAGGGACAGGCCGTAAAAGAATGGACGTCCATCTATTGTCGTCACTAACCCTGTCGTGGTCGCCGTCACCGGCGTCGTCGGACGGAGGAACGCGTTATAACTTCCCAAATCGCTCCCGTTCCACCTACGTCATTCCTCCAGCGCTAGGGATAAAACCGACAAAAACACACTGAAGGAACTCGGGTCCATTTAAGTGCAATGTTTTCGTCAATATAAGGTAATTCAAACTACACTTATTTATAATTAACAAATATTAAATTAATATCTCCTTCTGGAAACTGCCTTTCGTTGAAAATATTGTCACATGCAATAAGAACTAATTATATTATTAATTTTCTTTCAGGAGACTACTACAAACAATGGTTTGCGAAGGTGTCAGAGAGTTGTTCAGACTCCTTCTGATTTTTCTGGTGATACTGGCCACCAGAGGGAGCAACAACATTTTCAAAAACGCGAAAATCAGCACTCGCATTGTGCACACACGCTACGGTAGTTTGCAAGGACTTTTAGTGCCGATGGATCAATATCGATACTTGAAACCAATCGAAGTATTCTTGGGGGTTCCTTATGCAACACCGCCGACAATGTCGAACCGATTCAGTCCAACACGGGCCCCGAGTCCTTGGGATGGGATTCGAGTTTCGGACAAACTCAGTCCTGTATGTCCTCAAAAACTGCCCGACATTTCCAATGAAACTGCGGCACTGGAGAAAATGCCGAAAGGGAGATTGGAATATTTGAAGAGATTGCTCCCATACCTTAAAAATCAAAGCGAAGACTGCCTCTATCTCAACATCTATGCACCAGCTCAAGGTAAGTTATACTGTTAATTAGAACAATTATAACAAAAACGAATTAAGAAAATAACATTATAACGATAATATCCATCTACCTGCGTTAAAGCTGCGTCAGCTAACTTAATGTAGATTCAGATATAGAACTTAATTCAACATTCAAAAGTTTAGACAAAATATGACGCTTCTGTTAAACTAGCATCTCTACCAGTCCTCTTTTCCTTTTCTTCTTAAATTAAGTTATTTGATAAATCCTTTCATCTACTTTCAATGTGAAGTTAGCTATTAATTTATTCGTTGAAAGTAATTTTCATTGGCATCCGCTTCTTCGTCAGAACGTTGTTGTATAAAAAAGAAATCTAAAGTTTCCTATAAGCCTTAAGATTTCTCGAAGCGGAGCTTAAACAACGACGGTAATCGCTTTTTAGTGGATGTTGTCTGCTTTGGTTATAGTGCAATACCCAGCAGTTTAGAAAAGTTCAAAACAAAAGCACCAACAGTCTCCTATCTTCCGTCATATTCTTAAATATTTTTTCGATAATACGTAGATTTACATGTTTCATGGTAGTCTTAAGTAGCAACATAATCTGAATTACAATATTTAAGCACCCACATCGGAAGCTTCTATATACTAAAACTAACTCGTTAAAATTATTTATAACTAATTTAAAGAATCTCTCGCAAGTTCTCTTCATAAAATATTACTTTTCCGTAGAGAAGGATTAATTACTTCATTAACCTTATACAATATTATTATGAGTGTCCGATATCAAATCTATTGTTGGAAAAGAGGAAACCACGGAAAATAAGATGATCAAATTTCACTCGCTATATTTGTTATTCGCTATCCGATACCTTCCTTCAACGATTGGTAATGTTAATAAACTTATACCTATATAGCAGGACGGGTTGCTACCCTTTTTCACTGTCAGGAGCCGCGTGTCTATAGGTAATTGGATATTGATAAATTGACGTGTGCGATACATAATATATGTAGGTGTATTTGAAAACGCTCTGAACTACCAATAAAAATCTAACGTGTTCAAAAAAGTATTTACGGTTTATCTTTTGGTCGTTTGTTTCTCGATTAAGTAATTAAACATATATTTATTATATTTACTATATTCTGCACAAGAACGAAAAATCAAAATACTTATCAGGAATAAGTGCTGAAAATTTTGTAAAATAAAAGCGTAAATGGTAGCAACGTTCACAAACTATAACAATAAAATTTTCGTCCTTCTTAATGTCATAATTAATGACTTTTTCTAAATAACGTTGTTAATTTATCAAGCACCTACCTAGATGAACTTCATGACCTAATTGTTATCAATATTTTTGTTCGAAAAAAAATAATTATTTCCTAATTTAATAAAGAAAATACCACAAATGGCGCGGTAAACGCCATCTGTAGCACGATGCTACATTTTAGGATTACGTACGCTCCAAAACGCGCTGTTAAGACAGCAGGTAAAAGCTGGCCTGTGTTCTGTCGGAGCTGTCTGCGGCGCGCTGATGAGATCCAAAAAAATCGAAATCGCGATCCGCGTCTGACAGTTTCGACAGAATACAGACCACTTCGAATTATTTTATTCGATTATGATAACGTGCCTATCACGTTGAGGTTAGCTACGCCGGGATTCGTTTCAGCAAGTAGATATCCTTATATTTAAATGGACCTAGTTTTAGCATACGTAATCCTAAAATGTTGCATCGTGCTACAGATGGCGTTTACCGCTCCATTTGCGGTATTTTCTAAAACGCGCTGTTAAGACAGCAGGTGAAAGTTGGTCTGTGTTCTGTCGGAGCTGTCTGCTACGCGCTGATGAGATCCAAAATATCGAAATGGCGATCCGCGTCTGGCAGTTTCGACAGAACACGGACCACTTCGAATTATTTTATTCCTAATTTAATAATTATTAATACATATATTTACAGACATGTTTGATAAATGATGTGTATTAAATCATAGGTGTATATCGCATTCGTATGCCTACATTGATAGCTTCGTAATAGTTAAAATTATAAGCTTATGTTAAAAGCATCGAATTTTTTTCCGATTCGGGACATTTATTGGCCTCAAGCTATAATTTTTGCTGGCATTGACTTCTCGTAGCAGTTTATCGATGAAGTTTCCGTCCAAGAGGCAGTCACGCTGCTAATAAATTCTTGTAACGTTGCATGGGCATAGTTAAATGAGTCCTGAATTTGTCCTGGACCTCTGCCAACCTGCATTACGACAACGAATCGATAGTTTAGGATTTGGTCAGTCTAGCAGTGTTGTTACCGCCAATTTATATACCAACCAGCCTTAATTCTAACTTTCAATGTAAATAAACCCGACTTTAATCTGTAACAAGCGCATACATATTTGGTTTGTAGGTACATATAGTTTTCAAACAACTCCACTGATTTGTGTTAACGCAATTGATTATTTTCTTTGAAAAGTTCTATTCAGTTCGCAGAAAGCGAGCACTAAAAAATTGTGAACAATGTGTAATTAATTAAGTATCCTTATCCATGTTTTATACATAAAAGTATTCTGTTTCGCTCTCGTGAACAAACCGCCGCTGATGAGATTTGTACGTGAACTCTTTAAAAATTTAACCTAATTTCTGTTGGTTAATTACTAAAGCAAATTGAAATTACCTCATGTGTGTCGCAAACGTCCTCTCGCTGAAGTATAAACATAGCAATGGCATCATAAAAAGTTTTTTTAATGGGACTCGTAAAAACTTTTTTTAATGATCCATAAAGGATTGTGAAATTATCCACTTTATGGGAAAAACTTGTCAGAAGGTACATCAGAGACACTGTTGGAATTCAATTAAACAAGTTTTTATTTGAACTTATGATGTACATACATTCATCTATAGCATCCATAAACAATTTCTTTGGTATTTCATTTTTGCAATCTAGCAAGAGGATATTTTTAAAAGCCAAACAGTAACAAGAATAAATTTTGCAGGAAATTGAAAGAAAATATACAAAGTAGAGATGCTCGAAGCCAATGCTTTCAGTTTCCAATATAATTTAGAATTTGTTGCAAGAAATGTTTATTTTAAATATTAGATATTCAGGGATTATAAATGAAACGAATACTTCAAAAATCCAAAATCAAACTATAAAAATCCAAAATTATATGCTAACAATAGTGACTTGCTGGTGCATTATACATCAGATATATATATATATCAACAGAAGGCAAACACATGTTGTTGCTTTCTTAATAGATTATTATTAATTCTTCCAGTAAATGATTTTCAACTGAGAAATTTCGAAGTTAAATAATTCATTATTTACTAATCATATTTCGCATCAAACGATACTAAATTGATGAAAGTACTTTGTTGTTGATAATTAATTAAATGTAAACCATGGTATGTCAAAGAACAGGCCCAAAGATTGAAGATTGATGTCAACCACGAACGCAAGCAGCCGTTGAATGATTTGACAAAATTGGAATATTACCAAGAAGAATTGCATCCACTTTCACGACAGTTATGATCAGGAACTGCAATGTCAGACAGTCAATAGTCAGCCATCATCTGGCAAAAAATAGAATTAAGCCAAATGTTTGACATCGGNATTATCAGTATGTTCATAATTTCCTAATCTAAATCTAAATATATATATATATATACATATATATATATATATAATGCTAATGTGCGTACGTAAAGACAGGGTTTTATCTATCACCACCAACTCCTATCAACTTTGCGTTGGGGTTGTAAATACCCCTTGGTCTCCTACTGAAAGTAAGGGAGTTTGGTCGCGGTGGATGGAAGTGGGTGGCGAAAATGTGAAAAAATATATACCTGTACTTTTTTAACTTATGGTACCTTTTGGAAAATTTCTGAAATGATCCAGAAAAATCCAGAATGTGTACAACTGTTACAATCGATCAAGAATGTTCTTGAAGGTTCTAGAAATATCTGGAATGATCTGGAAAGTTCCAAATTGTGTGCAACTGTTAAAATCGATATGGAATGTTCCAGAAAGTTCTAGAAATATCTGGAATGATCTGGAAAGTTCCAAATTGTGTGCAACTGTTAAAATCGATATGTAATGGTCCAGAAAGTTCTAGAAATATGTGGAAAGTTCCAAATGTCCTTAATTAATTATCAATGATTTCTAGAATTTTCTAGATTTTGTCCAAATATTCTAGAATATTCTAGAACGATCTACTGTTAGTAAGAAATTTTATAAAGGTACAGGGTGGTATCTACGATAGAAATCTATACTATCTACGTTTAAAAGTGGATCCTCAAATATTTTATATACCATTAAATGTGCGATGTATTTTAACCCGAGTAACGCCGGGTTTCGCTGCTAGTTATTATCTAATACACAAAAGGGAGCCGTGTTTTTTAATCAATTTGGTAACATTTAATGTGAGATAACCAATTACTACTTATTTGAGATTTCAAATAATTGCCTTTTGGCTTTACCAATCTCTGCATCTATACCAAAAAATCCACAGAAAACAGTTCTCTTTTCTTTCGAGCGAAGGCGTTCCCTTGTGACCCAATTATAAATTTAAGTTTTAAACTAATAATATGCGTTCTTCTTTTAACATTTCGATCGGTTTTATTAACTCGGAAATGACTTGCTTTTGTGATAGGTGAGTACTTTGTCATCCAATAAATTTACATAGGTGTTCAAAACGGCAACAATTTATAGTGAAGCGTAGTTAATAGATCATTTAAAATTTCCCTTGGCTCGAATGCCCCATCGACAAAGGGAGATTGCGAGGTTAATAACCTCATTACGGCAAGTGATCGCGTCGAAAGTAAATTTTCTCTTTGGGAGCGTAAGACGTAAAGTACGCACTAATGGTGGATTAGAGACTGGGTTGATCGGATTACCCAAAGCTTGAACACCTGCTCACGCCAATCCTGCTTTGTGAGGTGAAAATAACTGAATGCCAAAGTAATATGAAAGAGATCGTTATAACTTTGCGTGTTGCGCCCTTTAATCCTCTAACAGGTATTAAATTCACTACTAAAGGATGAA